TCCTCAATGAGATGGATCGATTCAGTGATTAGGGTAATGTGAGTAGGTGTGTCAGAAATAGTGAGATTGGCACAGGATAGAGCAGGGTTTAGAACTCTTGTACACAGGGTAGCTATGAGTCATAAGTGACCCTACGGCACATAACAACAACAAAAACTTCTTAAAGAATCCTTTCATGTGTATTATTTTAAGGTGTTGTGGAGGCCTAGTCTGTAGCATGGTGAACTGCTACCCAAAAGGCAGAGCATCTCTTGTGGTTTGAATCTGCTAGTGTTCCTTTAAAAGACAAATCGGCAGTCTCCTCCTATTTAGAGTCTCAGAAGCCTGATGGAGGGTGTTAAGAGTAAGAAACAACTAGACAGCAGTGAATTACAGATTATGTTGAGATATAATTCTTGGGCTATCTTAACTCCCTAACAGCTTTTAGGGTACTTACTTTCCTTTTCATATGATGAAGTAAAATATCATTTCAATAGCTCAGAAATTATACCAATGTATATAACACATTTATTAATAAAGATTAATGTAAAAAAACCCCTATTATTCTAAAATATGGGCTTTTAAAGTTCATTAGTCTTTAAAACTTTACTGATCTCAAGGAGCTCTAATAGTGCAGTCCATAACGTGTTAGGTTATGAACAAAGCTTCACCTGCCCTTTCTCCAGATCTTTTCAATCTGTATGCTGAGCAAATTATTAAAGCAGCTAAACTATGTAAAGAACAGCATGGCATTGGGATTGGAGGAATGCTCATCAACATCCTATGTTATACAGTGGATACAATCATGCTTGTTGAAAGCAAGGAGAAACGTAAGCACTTGCTCCAGAGGAGCAAGGACTGCAGCCTTCAATATGAGTGACATTTCAATAAAAAATCTCATTACTGGATCAATAAGAAACATCATAATAGATTGAGAAAGGATCAAAATTGTTAACAATTACACCTTGTTTGGATCCACAGTCAACACCCTAAGTATCAGAAGGCAGGAGATAGGGAAATGTAGGGCACTGGGAGAGTCTACTGTCAGGGACCTCTTCAAAGTCCTCAATAGCAATGGTGTCAGTTTAAAGACTAAGTTGTGCCTGATACAAGCCAAAGTCTTTCCAATCATTTGTTGTGCTTCTGAGAATTAGACAGTGAAGGATGACAGGAGAAGAACTGATGCATTTGAGTTGTGAGGTTGGAGAAAAGTGCTAAATACCCCACAGACTGCCAAAAGAACAAACAGAGAAGGTGTGTCTTGGAGAGAGTACAACCAGAGTGTTTCTTAGAGGCAAAGATGGGTAAGCACTGTCTCATGTATTTTGACATGTTGTTAGCAGAGGCTATACCCTGAAAAGGGACATCATGATTGACAAGGTGGAAGGTTAGCAAAGTAGAAGATTCTCAGTGAGACAGAGTGATACAGCGCCTGTAGCTATAAACTCAAATGTGTCAAAAATAACAAGGTGCAGGACAGAGTTCAGATCTACTGTTTACAGGGTTGTTACGACTTAATAACAAGAATAAGTTCATTCAAAGTGAGGAGATAACTTTCTGTGTCTTATTTTTATGCCAATCCATCAGATTTTTTGTTGTTTTTTTTTTTTACAAACCAACTGTTTCTTTTGTTCCACTGCATGATCACTTGAAATTCAGAATTGCCCCATTATTACTGGAATTATTTTTTTTTAATTAATTTTAATGAACATTTACAGAGATTTTGTATTTTCATTCATTCATTGTTGCACTTTTCTCCCTGCCCACCCATCCCCCCTAGTTCGCTCCTCTATTTGAAAAGTAAAAGAAAAATTCTTTCATTGGTATAAAATTCCCCCTTCCCCCAAGTACACTCCACTATGCAACCTTCATTCTGGACTCTTGTCATAATACCCAATCATATATCACTTTTAAACTGTTCTCTCCCTCATCTGTTTCAATGCAGTATACATAATTTATCCAATTTTTCTCAGTCTTACCCCAACCATGATGTCAGTCCTGTTCTACAACAGTGGCACCATGCAGTATGTCTTTTCTTGACTGAGATATTTCACTCAGCATAACGTCCTCCAGGGTCACCCATTTTGAATAATACTGCATGAGTTCCTTTTTTTCCAATGCACCATAGTATTCCATTGTGTGAATATACCACAGCTTCTCTACCCATTCGTTTTAGGTTGTTTCGAACTCTTTGCTATTATGAACAAAGCCACAATAAACATGGGTGTGCATATATCTGCCTGGGTGGCAGTTATGGTTTCTTTAGGGTATATTCCCAGTAGTGGAATTAGCCTTCCATAGCGGTTGAACCATTTTACACTTCCACCAAGAGTGAATAAGGGTTCCAGTTTCTCCACAACCTCACCAGCATTTGGTGTTTTCTGTTCTGTTAAATTCTGATACTCTTACTGGGATGAGATGATATCTCACAGTTGTTAATATTGTGAAAATGACAATACTACCAAAGGCAATTTATACAGTCAATGCAATCCCAATACAAATACCAATTCCATTCTTCAATGAGATGGAAAAGGCAATCTCCGATTTTATTTGGAATGGAAAGAGGCCCCAAATAAGCAAAGCACTCCTTAAAAAGAGAAATAAGGTAGGAGGCATCTCACTCTCTGATTTCCAAACCTACTGCACTGCCAGGGTGGTCAAGACAGTGTGGTACTGGTATAATAACAGAGATATAAATTAATGGAACAGAATAGAAAATCCAGAAATCAGCCCATCCACCTATGGTCAATTGATTTTTGACAAAGAGATGAAATCAGTTAAGTGGGGAAATGACAACCTTTTTAACAAATGGTACTGGCAAAACTGGAAAACTACCTGTAGAAAACTCAAGCGAGATACATACCTCACTCCATACACAAAAACCATCAAATATTTTTAAAGTTACATGTCACATTCTTCCCATGGCTCAGTTCCTGCTGGTACTAATCTGCCATGGCCTCTGAAATGTGCACTGAGTAAGGCAGTACAAGCTCAAGATGACAGGAGAAGGAAGTCTTCCGAGGCAGAGTCAAGAGCCCCCCTTGATATTCCAGAAGTTTCTCTCTCCATGTGGTTAGACAGATATCCCAAGATTATCTCAGCACTGCCTTACCTCAGACTCGTCAGTAGACTCTTCAAGGGACATGGCTTCCTACAAAGCAGAACAGAGGAAAATTGTCAAAATAAACTACAAAACAAAACTGTCAAAATAGACAACAAAAGGATAAAAATCACCTACAGCTGAAAAGAATTTCTAAGTTTCCACCACAAATACTCATTTCTCATTTTTTTTTTAATGCATGTTTTCATCATGTTCAACTATCAACTCCATGTACTCCAGGTATCCCATGCCTCTGACTTCCCTCCCCAGAAGGGACTAAGGAGGGTCACTATAGGTTTTACTATAGATTTCACTGCTCCTGCTGACCCCCTCTCAGTCAGCAGATTAGCAAATTATCCCACACACTTGTCTTCTCAGTATATGAAAGACTCCCTCGATGATAATGGGAAATCAGTCTTGCAAAGTAGCATGACTGATGTTGGAAGGGAAGGAGAAACTGTGGTCTCAAATTAACTATAAGCCAATTTTAAAACAAAAAAAAAATCTAGCATGTTATTCATCAGTATTGCTATACATCTGGCTGAAACATAATTATTCTTTCATTTAAACCTGGCAGTATTACCCATCAGATACTGTGCAAATAAATGGTAAAATTTAAATTCACCTTTTAAACCATTAACCTTAACACTTTCTGCCATTTAACACAGTTTCCTTCATGTGATACAATGAATCTTGCTGCTCTGCAGGAAATAAAGCAAAAAAGGGAAAAAATGGACTTGATCCTGCTAATCTCTCACCTGTCCACAGCATGAGAGAATCTGCTGATGCTGTGTGTCCTCCAAGAGGTCAGCGAAATGAAGATTTACTTAACGGACTTATTTATAGATATCAATAGCAGTAAAAGTTTACAACTAATATGCTGACACTGAATGTAAGCATTTTACAACAATCCACGAGATAAAGAACTGAAAAAAGGGAGTAGGAGACAAAGACTTCTCTGATAAAAACTAGCATTTTCTCAGGTGAGGAGCAGAAAAAAGGACATTTAGAAGAAAGTCAGATGCACATACAGCCCAATGGAAGCTCAATGAATGCAACTCTAGTTCATCAAAATATTTTCAAATCACTCATCAGAACTCAGAATAACCTATGGAGCAGAAACTCACCAAAATGCAGCTTGGTGAACAAACTATAATTCCTGTCCTCAAAGGTGTCTATAAAACTAGGATAACTGTTACTTGTAATTAAGAATTTTATTAGCCATATTATTAATGGATACTGGCATTTTCTCTGTATCCTGGTGCAGTCTACTGAGTAATTGTTGACCTAATTCACACAAAGTTTTTATTAACTTGGAGAGACAATCTCTTCCCATTAGTTTTTTATTATTTGAATTATGTCACACACACAAAATCCTACTGCTGCCAAATCAATTCTGATTCATAGTGACCCTATAGGAAAAGCCAGACTGGACCACAGTATGAAGGAGTAAATCTCCATGGAAGTAGACTGCCACGCCATTCTCCTCAGAGTGAATGGTGGGACTGACTTCTGGTTAGAAGCTGAAAGCTCACTGGGCCACAGGCACCCCCAATGCTTTCTGCACCAGAGGCCTTTAAAGTTGTAGCATTTTTAAGGCTCCATACTGGCATGGGCACCTCAGCAAGTAGTGAGGGTTAAGGTTCAGCCAGTCAAGAGAGTTTGGGGCTTATGCTTTATATTTCCACATTGTCAACCAAACCAGAAATTTAGAAATCCCTGATTGTTTCTAAATGCTAGCTCTTTTTCCCTATAATCCAAATCATAACTACAACCTCAAGCCACAAAATCCGCAAGCAGCCTCCCATGGCCTTTCTTCCTGCTATACCCCCTCAGTTGTTGGTGTTGCTGTGTACCATCAGGTAGGAACCAACCCACCCCTGATCCTCCAGAGAGTTCCTAAAGGTAATAAATCGCACAGGAGGAGACTGCTCATCCTTCTCGTGTGGAGTAGCTGATGGATACAACCACATGCCTTTGGCTTTGCTTCCTACCATTAGGCCACAAGAACTCCTTTAATCTTTAGCTAGCAGCCTTGGTGGTGTAGTACATAACGTGTTAGGTAAGCAGTTCAAATCCTCCAGAAGCCCCACACAACATGGGCTTTTTCTGTTAAGTTTCCCAGCCATACAATCCCAATGGAAGGTCGTGATAGTTGGACTCAATTAAATAAACAGCACTTTGTGTAGTTTCTTAGTTTTGGTCCTAAAATATTAGTCATTTGTTGCCAATGCCTATGTTCAAATATTAATCAAAAGGTTGGTGGTTCACAAGTTAAAAGGGGGACAACTGGCTTGATGCTGCTAATCTCCCTCCTATTAACTGTGCAAGAGGATCTGCTGCTGCCATGTTGTCCTCCAAGAGGTCTGCAAAGTGAAAGTTTACAATCAAAAGTTACAACCAATATGCTGACACTGAACAGGAGTTGGAATTGACTAAACAGCAATAGTGTTATGGGTCTTAAAATAGTTACTATTTTAGACATTTTTAATAACCTCCATGACTTCTGCCTGCATCTCTCCTACTATTTACCCACAGTAACAATTCAACATAAGTTGTCTGATAATAATAAGTTCTTGTTGTTATGTGCCATTGAGTCACCTGCAACCCATAGTGACCCTATGTACAGTAGCTCTGAAGCCTGCCCTATCTTGAGTCAGTCTCACTGATTCTGAAACTCCACCCTCCATTGCACCAGTTACTGTATCAAGCCATCTCATCCGTGGTCTTCCTCTCCTACAATGTCCCTCCACCCTTCTGAGCATGAGGTCCTTCTCCAAGGATTGGTCTCTCCTGGCCACGTGCCCAAGGTATGTAAGATGGAGCTTCAAAATCCTAGCCTCCAAGGAGAAACTTGGTTTCACTCTCTCCAAGGCAGACCTATTTGTTCTCTTGGCAGTCCATGACTCTGGACAGTTTAAGACTCTTCTCCAGAACCACAGATTAAAGGCATCTATTCTTCTTCTGTCATCCTTAGTCGCTGTCCAGCTCTCTGATGCATAGCCTGGATTAGGCACAGCTCAGTCTCTAGACTGACATCATCAATTTCAGTACTCTGGAGAGGTTCCTGACAGCAGATTTTCCCAATGCAGTTCATCTTTTGATTTCTTGATTGCTGGTGCCAAGAGTGTTTGATTGTGAAGTCAAGCAAGCTGTAATTGATAACAACTTCAATCTCTTCTCCATCTATCATGATGCTGCCACATGGCCCAGTGGTGAGAATCTTTGTTACCTTGATGTTGAGCTTCAATCCATATTGAAGACTACAATCCTTGACCTTTTACAGCAAGTGCTTTAGGCCCTTCTCGTTCCCAGCAAGCAAAGTTGTGTCATCTGCATGTTATTGATGAGTCTTCCTCCAATCCTGATGCCACATTCCCCCTCATAAAATCCAGCTTCCCAAATGATTTGTTCTGCATATAGATTGAAAAGATGTGTAGAAAGGATACATCCCTGATGCATACCTTTCCTGATTTTGAACCATGCGGTGTGTTTCCTTTCTCTGTTCTGAAGACTGCTTCTTGGTCCAACTACAGGTTTTGCATAAGCACTATCAAGAGTTCTGAGATTCCCATTTTTTTCAAGGTTTGCCACAATTTGTTGTGCTCCACAGTCAAATAAGTAGTAGATTTAAATAGGCAACATTCTTCCCTTCCACTTCCCAAACAACATGCCTCTGGAAACTCTACGAATTTTGATAAATGACGATAGTCATGAAAAGGCTTCAGGCTTTTTGTTCATACAGTCGCTATGAGTCATATTCGAATCGACGACAATCAACAACACATATCTATTTGCATTTACAAACAATACCAACTGCCTTTTTGCCATGTTGTTGTTGTTATGTGCCGTCAAGTCGCCTGCAACTCATAGCAACCCTATGTACAAGAGTACTAAAGCCCTAAATACTGTTCTGTCCTGTGCCAATCTCACTGTCTCTGACACACCTACCCCCATTACCCCAGTCACTGAATCA